CTGTAGGACTCTGTAGATAAAAAAGGCTCATTCTAAGGTAACAAAAACACAACAATTCTTATTTTCAGGTGATTATACACTAATGAAGACATAACTATAAATATTATATTCCATTTCTGCCAATAGATGTTTGATTATGTAATATGTAGTTTTTTGTAATGTTATCAGTCCCATTTCTAACTATCTAACATGTAATTCAGACAACACAAAAGTGATTTTTTTTTAAGACAATATTGCCCAAAAATTGCTGCTTTTCTCTTTTTTATATTGTTGTAAATTGAATATTTGGGGGTTTTGGACCGTTGGTCGGACAAAACAACACATGAAGACATCACCTTGGACTCACTCGCCATTTTCTTACTATTTTCTGAATAAATAATTGTTTGTTGCAGGCCTAAACTCATACAAACTTCATTCAAAATTCTTATTTAGGACACATGCACTAAACACTTCATGTTTCTTCCCATAATTCAGCTTATTAGTCATTTACCTGCTACAGGTTCCTGCTCACGCTAAAGACCATTTCAGTTTCTTCCTGTGACACAAACTCCTATTCTCACAGCAGTCTGACAGTTTTAAATACTTAAATGTTCTGTAAATGGATTCCGACAGAGGCCTGCGTCCACACTCACACTCAACCTCTACTGTATGAATGTCAGAGGTGTATAATGCTTCATTTGCCACTGCTGCTTTGTCAGGCTTTCAAAGCTCAAACTTCTGCAGTAGATATTTCCATTTCTGACTGAAGAACAGGTGCCCATTATCGCATTGAAGTGCAAAGAGATGAGCAGAATATTAACGCGTTACTCCATCCGGGAGACGGCGAGTTCAGATCTTTGATGCAAATGCGGCGAGCCTTATAAGCGCGCCTGCTGCCTTACATTATGTGAGCCTCAACTGTCAACTGCAGACACACAGAAGACGGGATCAAACATAAGAGGATTCAAGGTGAATCTGCCTTTTCTGCCTCGTTGTTTGTGAGAGAGAAGTCGGTGTCAAAAGAATCAAGAGTCAAGGAGCAAAGATCTGACTTTTCAACTGGTAAAGAAAGGGTAAAAGATTCAATGTCGAAGCCGTATTTTGGTATTTTATAGTCGACTGAAGTCAAAGCAGGATAAAAAAGGAAGTCATTCATAGGGCAACCATAAAAGTGTGGGTTTAAGCCTTTAAACCCAGTTTTGGATCTCTTACTGACATCTTTAATGAAATATTATTATTCAACAACAGTGACAAAACAAAATGGGCTGCTGACTCTTTTGGTGTTGTCGGTGCAGCAAAGTCTGCGCAGTATAATTTAAATAAAACCAATCTAATCCGAATTCAGGTCCTTTTATTTCCTCCATCAGTAGTCATGGCTGTCCTTTAATGATCAAAGAGGCTCAGAAAGTGGAAATTGTAATACAAAGACAGAAAAGTAAGAATTCAATATTTGATTTCAACTAATTTTCTGCAGTATAGACAGAAACTATTGTCTACAAAGCTTCATCAGTCTCAGTTTAGCTTTCTGTGAGTGCAGAGATGAAATATTTCACACACAGGATGAATTGAACGTTAATATTGGGTTTTCTTTTTTAAAAACAATGTGGACTCAAAGATTGGTAGGCTCGGTTTTCTTTCAGCCCGACCTGTGTGGAATATCGTGACTATCAAAGCAGTTTCAGTTGTATATTTGCTAAAGATCTGTCCAATAGCTTTGATATATATTGGACTGCGTGCATAAAGTAATGACATTCTCAATCCTGGTTCAGACTTTAAAGGACCAGTGTGTATATTCAGGTGATGCAAACATACCTATGAGTATTATATTCCATTTCTGCCTCCTGAATGTTACCCACTGGACTTTCTCCTTCTCTACAGATCATACCTGGGATGGGGTGAAACCAGACATCCTGAAGGCGGAGTGGACCAGAGGAACTTCAGCTTTCAGCAGCATCTCCACATAGTGAGCTGTGCACCAGTAGACAGGAGTGATTCCCGATTCAGCCACTTCCACGGGAACATGGACCTGTCATGAAAAACATGAGCTTCTTATCTCCAGAACATTTTTAAATTGAAGGCAGAACTGTAAATAATGACCAATTTTGCTCGCACCACTGGTGGATATTCAAAGACGAAACATAAATTACAAGCTCCATGATTTGTATTCAGTGCTTCTATTTTGAGAAATGGGAATAGAAACAGCAGGCTGCTTTTGCTGGTTGTGGAGTGTGTGGGTGTGTGTTCACGGCGCGTGTTCATGTCCACATTCCCTCACAAATTTTCTGCTGCCTCTTAATTATTTGTGCCCTTTTCTGTTTTTGCTTGTTATTGACAAAATCGACCAGGTTGTGAAGTTGGAGGCTAACTGCTGTGTGGAGAAATCCACCGGCTGCAACTGCATCAAACACACCGAGAGCACGCAGCACACGTTCAGTCTGATTGAGCTGTAATTGATTTTGACGAGAGACAACACGATGACAGAGGTTGGTATAATGATAGCAAAGCTTAATCTCAGCACCTTGCATCTCCCCTGCAATTTAGAATGATTGAAGCTAGACTTCTCCCCCTAACTTCAACGATTCCTATTACTTTTATTTCTCCTCTTTGTTTCCCTTTCAGTCGTCTTCCTCCTAGTTTTTTCAATTCAGTAACACATCCTGTTTGTTTTTCACCGTGTTGAGAAATGAAGACGCAGAGTCAAACTGAAAGTCATTATGTGGAAAAATGTTGTTAGAATTCATTATCATCTTCATTTATTTATTTCCCTTTGCTGTAACATTGCTGTGATTGTTGACGTGCTCCGTATGAAAAAGGTGGGTTTAAACGAGGAGACGGAGACTGTTCACATTTGAAGGTGCTTTTCAAATGTGAACATGAGCTGAGACAACGTTACAGGAGTCCCTCCGTAGAAACCTACAGTGGAGATTTTGATGGATAGCTCGGCGTCAGATGTAACTTTCTAATAGCAGCACCACAACACTAGATGGATGTATTGGATATTCATATTACACTTTAATGACATTCTTTTTCCATGCAATTTGGCGTATTTTAATATTCATTCACTGTGATAGATACCCAGGGTTTTGGTGAGCAGTTGTGTGTTCCAGAAAAGTTTTTCCAACTTACTTCATATTATCTTCACTATTAACAACCCTGCCATCAGAAACACCAGCAGCCACAGCACATGTGGATTTCACTTGGTATTTTCTTAGCCGCAGTCTCGAGGTAAAAACTCAAAAGGGTCACCGCAACCTTTCATGTGCTCTTTGACGTGAGAGTGGCTCCAGATATTCCTGACAGAAAGATTATAAGAGCTTGGGGTTTCTCAGTTTCTTGACATACGCTGGGTTTGGATAACTGACGACATGATTTTGGTGTTTAGAGAAGAAGACAAGATAGCTCAGAAGAGCCCTGCATGCCCCCCCTTTGTGACCTAGTTTTCTTGGGTGTAACTAGACTGTTGGAGGGGAAAACCACAGTAACCACAGTTGTTAACAGTCTTGCTTTCTGGCCAGTAATTTATTAGAATACATTGATTAAAGGAGCAGTAGATAACTCTTATAAAAATAACTTTTTGTCATATTTCCTATGGCCTCCTGAATGAAAACAACCAATCAGAACCAAGAAAAATAGTCTCATTCCCAAGTTTATGAGTCTTAACAAGCGACTATCTTTCTCAAACATTATTATAAAAGGTACCTACTGCAGATTTAAGACAACAGAGAGTGTATATTATAAATAAATGGTTTTGAATAAAGCCAGAGGGGCTCAAAGGTGATAGTGGTGCTAATATAAAGTCTAGACTGATCGGACCTGCCTGGGGATCTAAGGTTAATAACTAACTCAAAAGGACACAGGCTGTTTCAGCATAACAGCCAAACCAAACCATGCACTGAAACTTCTTGTTGGTTCAAACCAATGTAACCAGCGACAGGTTGTTCGAACTGTCATCTACACATGGGAGTGCTTTTACCTAAAGCGTTCACTCTGTCACCCTAGATAAAAAAAAAGAAGGGCTGTAAATTTGACTTCTACAACTTTTCTTCCAGCCTTAAAAGAGAGATGCTTACCATGCTAACCAATATAGCACTAACATCACTCATCCTGTTTAAGCCAGCGCTTACATTTGTTCTTTTTTTTTCTCCTTTTTAGCAATCCAATACTGTCTCCTGAGCGGCAGTGTGTGATTGTGTTGTTCAGAACAAGGTGAATACCTTGACTGAACTCTTCACAAACCAAGACAGCAACAATACGACAATAGGATGACAATTGAGGTCTTTAAAACTTTCGCTTTGCTGCCATTTCAGGCCTCTAAAGTACTAAATTGCTGCACATTTAAATCCCAGCTGTTGCACTGTTGAAAAGACTGTACTGTTGTTCTTTTTGTACAGTGTTATGCTCACCGAGGCGTGTATCCTCGCAGGCCAGATGAATGCAGAGATGAGCAGAGAGGACAGATTGAGCAACAAACTCAGAGACCTTTCTGTGTCTCCTGCCATGATGAGGAACACCGTGGAGGCCAGCCAGTCGTGGCCTGGATAACCATCCTGTTGAGTGACTGCAGGACAGAGTTAAAGAGCCAAAGCACTGGTGGAAAACATACAAAGGTCAGTGACTCAGACTCACAGTAATGCTGAACAAACACACTGTAGCTGCTGAGATTAGTTTTCCAACATGACAATGGGATGGATACATGTGGACTGTGGACCCATACGGTGTTTCTTATCTTCAAATTAGCCCTCTGTAGCACATATTAAAAAAGGTAACAGCTTTAATCTAGAGAAAGTACCACTTTGCATGTAAAAATAAATTTTAATTAAGTAGCAGCCTCTGCACTGTATTACTAATTAATGATCTACAGAGCTGTGCATCAGCGTGGAACAAAAAAAAAAAACAGACTAATTTGACTTGACAGATATTTTCTGGCAACAGCAGGTGGTGTTAAATTAATTCAAACAACAGAATTAGTTATACAAATATTATATCTCATTGCTTTTGTTGATATTTTGAAGAACTTTCAAAGATCCCGTTCAGGTGTCACAAGAAACTGAGTCCTTATGTTGTGTTAAATAAAGCGTTAAGCTAATACCACTTTACTGTCAACTGACGCTGACACCATTGAGTGTCACCCACAGAGCGAGTAATGCTTTGACAGTCAATTAACCCTGATACACCAGACCATTATCTCATAGCAGAAAAACAGCCTCCTACAGTTCAGACCGCCAGGATCAAATCCCCATCTGCAGTATCATTTTGTGAATTTATGAGATGAAGAAAAGCCTAAAACAGACCAGGTCTTGTATGAAAATATGGAGCTGATTGTGATTTTGGGGTACGGGGAGTCAAGTATGAATCATGTTAAGAAATTCATCCAATACAAGCCATTTACTACAAGGTCTCCCATGTGGTAGCTCGGCTTTGTGAACACCACATTACAGCAATGACGAGAGTGGAAAAAAAAAGTAAAAAACTAACACGATTTGAAAACACCAAGGTCGCAACACAATCAGACTTCAAGGTTTCTAACTTGAAGCTTTCTCTCATCAACTGCATGTCGAGTGGTTTATTCAGCTCTGGAGCATTTACTCTGTAAGGTCAGTTTCATTTAGATAATTTCATTCAGATGGTGCTGGAAGGAAATGACTGCGCTGATATGCCGGTCTGAGTCCTGCTCCGGGAGAACTGCGGAGCGATTAGTCTCAACTCTAGAAAACAACCCCCGGGCTATCGACGCCTCCTGGTTTTTATATCTTTCTGCTGAGCTGCTGCCTTTTGAACACTGTGGACCTTTAACTTTTATTTAGGTGGAATGCACACAGAAAGATTTTATTTGCAATTTGCCCTTGAAACGCTCACCAGATATAATGTAAGGGCATCTAAAATATGGTTTACAGACTCAGAAATGATTCAGGTTACATAGAGGACATTGTGATTGGTTGGTTTAACCGTTTGATCGACCCTCATTAACAAACACACCCAGTTGATTAACACTACAAGCTATTTGAATGTGACTGACAGACAAGCCTCATCTACTTGGAGTACACTTTGTCATTTCAAATGATAAAGAATTATAAATACAGCAGAGCCGGTGGGAAAAGAAAAAACCCACATTTTGATATCACTCAATAACATAAATGAAGCTCAAACTGAAAATACTGACTTCATTAAACAACTTTTCTCTAAAATCAGTGATTTGTTTTGCATTGCTTAATTTAACCAAGAGACTACTGAGTACTTAGTTTGGGTAAATTTCAGGATCTAAGGATGTCTGCAATGCACTAAAATCAGCAGATCTATGACTTTAAAACTACGTGGGCTTTCTCGAAAAGTTTTAAAAGTATATTAAATATATATATTGTATGCTGTGCACTGCAGTTTGAACCTGTTGACGCTTTCTGAACTCACATATCCCCAACAGACTAATGTTGGCTGCAGAAACATTGCAGTAAATCTGCATACGGCTAAATTTAAACCGCTCGTCATAAAAGATCGTCACAAGCAGCTTCTTCATATTAGCTCAAATGTCAGCATGGTTTCAGTGTTACAAGGAAAATGTCAGGCTGTTTTATATTTGTGAAGACTCTTTATCTCTGCTCGGTGATTTCATGTTCAATTGTCCACATACAAAAGGGAACTTTCTGAAGGAGAGAGGAGGCCTATCAGTTGCCATTTGGGACAAAAGAAGTCTGAACTGCTCACTGAGACACAGATGGAGTAAAATAATCTGTATTGTGTTGATGAGATGGAGATGGACACTATCGGTCTCTCCACGTCTCTCTCTGAGTGACTACTGAAGTTATCAACCCGAGACTGCTGCCACTGCACATAAACACCTTGTCCTCGGTTGAATGGAGTGACAGAGCAGAATGGGGGCAAAGAGAAAATATATTGCATTTAAAATGAAAATAAAATGGAAGTATGTGTCAAAATATGAGTGCGTTATTGCAGGGTAAAGTCAAAATATCTTTTGGTATGTGTTAATGTGTATTTGAAAGCATCTACAGTAGTTGTATAAAACGCCTACTCCTCTCGACTCTCAACTTAATGAATTACGCTTTGACAAATTCCAGAGGAATCTGACAATATAGTTTAATCAAACCTAAACTTCTTATGGTCATGAAACTTAAATTAACCTTGGGAAGCTAGGTACAGTGTTATTGAATCAATCAGCATCCTTTGAGGAAGCACTGGCAGCTACGCGGGTGGGTGCTAGGTGTGACGCAGCGAGAGGCGACGGTTTGTTAAACAACAATGGCGGCTGCTAAAGAGGTTAGGGTAGATGCTGCTATTAGTTATATCAGAACTGGAGAGTATTTCTTCACTGAAAGAAAAGCAAAGAACGTCACTGAAGGTTTTTCTCGATGGAAAAGATGTTTTCTTTCTTCTCCCGACTGAGTTTGAATAGTTTGACTACATTATATGGTTCGTTGATCTGAAGTTCACCCGTGATAGACAGTGGTTCGTCCAGTCCACGAGTGTTTTTTTTAAATGGGTTGATTGTGGACTTTGTAAAGGATACTGAGCTCTGAAGTAGTTTTAACTCTCTGTGTGGACAAGAAGATCTTAACATGCTTCATTAGCTGCGTCAGGTCGTTCACATCATCTTCTTTCAGTAGCTTGAGGTAGCTGCCGTACCTGGAGACAAAAGACAAAACAGAAATAATGTATGTCTCTCCCACGCAGTGATCAATCCTTAATGGCTCTAAAGACAGTGGAGATGGTTGTGGATTTCAGGAAGAACCCCGGCCCACCCAACACCATCACGCTGCGGCCTTTTTTCCACCAAATTAGTTGTGTGGGAGCTGGATATCAGAGTGCATTCACTTCCTTTTTTTTATTTTCTCTTCCTATGCACCAAAACTTGGTAATAAACCTAATTCTGACAATAACAAAGACACAAAAAAATACTGAGGCCTCATGCAAACAGACAGAAGCACTCATTAAAATTCAATTCAACAAGTGCAATGTGGTCCGATTTAACTTGGCAAGTTTGACACTTGTAAGTCAAGGATTAATTATAAATTCATGTCCAACCACTTTAAATCCTCTCTGTGTGTACCGCTCTCACACTGTGCTCTGTTGATACCAATAATGCAAACATGGCACTGTTTCTGAACATGCTCTGAAACTTTTCACCTGAAACGCTCCCTTCAGGGGGAGGTGTCGAGCAAAGAGTTATATCCACGATGTAATGTAGCAGCGGGGTGTCATTTAGAGCCGAAACGAGCAGTGAGAGAAAAGTAACACAAGTCAGATGGCCTACTTATGGGGAAATAAAAAACAGACCAAGTATTATGCACACTGGCGCCATTAGAGGGAAAACAGAACAGCAGGAGAACCCTTAAACACCTTCGACAAGTGTGGGGGTCTAACAGGAGCAGAAGGGAATAATATTCTTCCTCTGTATACAGCAGCATGTTTTCTGAAAATGGTGTGAACAGACCATTTCAACTGGGCTCTTGGGTACACTGAAGGAGACAGGGCTGTGGCCTTCAGATGATCCAGCTCCTGAATTGGGGAAACAGCTCACACCTGCTGCTGTTGTAGTCCATTTTAATCTGGATAAACCTTTCTCTCTTCTTCTCTTTCTCCTTCAGCAATAACCTTCTCCCTTTTCAGCTTTGGTGCAGCTGCAGAAAGAACCCCTTTACTGTGTGATTCTCAGGGTTGAAAGCAAAAACCTTGGACCACATGCATAAACGATGTAATTATTATTTCTTAAAACTACATATGCATGTGTGATAGAGGAATAGCACAATGAAGTGTGATTTAAATGTAAAATATTACTTTAAACATCATATACTTAGGCGTCTTCACCACCATGAGGGACAATTATTTAAGAGCACATCTACCGACCGCACTTATTAACGTCAGGATGTTTGTTGGTGGGTACTTCATGAAGGAGTAAGCCTCCTGGAGCTCTGACTTACTTTCTCTTTGGCATGAGCTAAATGTTAGCAGACTGCCAGGTTCTGTCAGAAAGAGCCAATGACTCATAGGCTAGCAACAGCTTTGACAACATCATATTGGTGAACGGACACACACACACGTACAGACAAATCAGTGTTGAATTCAGATGTGTGACGCACGGTTTATGTTTTTATGTTGGGTTAGGTAATAATGGGACAGAACATGATAAATGTCTATGTAAGTGCTGAAAACAAGTAGAATATCATTATTTTTGTTTGCTCTTTGCATGTGAGTGAGTGACGAAAAATGTCCCTACTAAATAAACTATGAGCTTTACTTGGTGCTAATTAGTTTATCATCTGACCCCAGACGTCTACCAGTTCGTCCAGTATCAACCTGGAGTAAATTCAACCAAACAGGACCAGAAATGTCCGGTACATCAACAGTTCTTTTAACAGAATTCAAACATTTTAAGGATATTTTTTAGAGTGGAGGCTGCAATTACTAAAACGAAGCTTACAGTTGAGTGAGTATAAGACTTGAGTGAACACAGCAGGTTCCTCCTTCCCTGGTTGCTGCTGGAAGAAGACTGTCTTATTAAATGAAGCTTTATGAACTATAGAAAAACACTTTACATACATACCTGAGACAGGTGTTGATTCCCAGCTGCTCCACAGATGATAATGCAGCACTCTTCACACTCTTCTCCTCTGCTGTAAAACAAGACGATTAAAGAGGAGAGGTGGTTATTACCAAGCAATGCAATACCCAAAGAACAGAGCTGGAGGTTTTTTGGGGGAATAATACTCCCTCGATATCACTTATGGGGTGCGTTACGGCTGTGGAAAATGGAAAAATATGACAAAATACCGTGACTTGCTACTTTTAAGGCACTACAGATGTGATGTTGTGTCTGGGTAATTTTGTAGTTGGCACTTTTACAGCAGATGTTTGGCATTTAATTGAGTTGTGTGCAAGTAGCGCGGCATCAAGGTGACTTGGGTAATTTCACTAACAGTCAGCCACGGGTAATTTCACAGCAGCATTTTGATGGTTTACAGCAGTGGCGTCATAACTCTTGATTTTAGGAGTGTGGTGGAATTCTTTTGGTTGCGGGTTACAGTATGAAATTTTGAGCCTTGTGAGAAAGCTCTTTATCTCAGGACTTTATCTTTATCTGTGCAGTTGGGTCCTGCAGTGAGACACTGTAGCAGCGGACAATGCTGGAGCAGGGCGGCTTTAGATCCACATGCCACAGCTTTGTACAGATTGTTGAGCTATCAGTCTCACCAGATGCTCTCATGGGCTCTTACTTAGCACCGGTAAGTGTACAGAATCATAAAAATATATTAGCTTTTGGAGTTACAGTTGTAATTGTGTGGAGAGAACGATGGATGAAGCAATAACTGCGGGAAGACTGATATTTTGTTTTGGAAGATATTTCCACTTCATCCTGGCTTTGGGGAAAAAGAATATTATTACAGTTGTGCTAATGAATCCCCTGCTTCAGGCAGTTTGTGGTAAGATGATGAGAAGATTTTAACAATTAATATGAGTATTATCGAGACAGCGTGAGTGGCAGGGAAAACTTGAAATCCAATTTACAGACTAATGGTGCAGAAATTTGCTGGGGAAATGATAATATGGTAGCCGTAATCTGCGATATCAAAGTGATAATTCAACATTGTTACCATCGAAAAATCACCGCCGAGCTTTGTGGATTAATCTTGGGTCTTCAATTCTTGTATTAATTGAGAGAAAATAGCTTGTGATGAGGGCATGAAGCAATGCCAGGACAACTACTGCTGTATTTTCTATCTCACCCTTCTCTCCTCACATATTAACATCTCTAAAAACCTCTTGCTGATGGCAATTACTGTCTAATGGAGATGAATGCTCTCTTGTTGTATTTATTCCCTCCCTCCTCATTCCTCTCTCCTCCTGTCTAATCAGCATTGTGTCGCTGGCGTCTACTTTACAGTTCATAATAACTATAATCCGACCATTTAGCTTTTGTTAAAAAGAGCCACTGTTGAAAGATGGCACGTGCAATGTATCTCTGACATTAGTTGTGACAATCTGTAATTAATTGCTTATCAAAGCGACTGTGAAAGTTATGAAGAGTATTCTCTGGGATCTGCATTTAGCTCCGAGTTGATTCAGTTTCAGTTTCAGATTCACTACAATCCTCCAGAGCTTTGGAGAAATTAAAACACAAAAATAATCTTGAGAACAAAGAAGCCTGCAGAATTAAAGGGCTTTTAGTGAGTGAGTCGTTGTTATGAGACATATCAAGAGAAAATCCTTTAAGATGAGCACACAACATCTACAAGAAGGTTGTTGATGCATGTGAGTGCAGCCACACCTGGAGCCTTAAAAAATAAATGTTTAATCATCCTTGAATGAAGATTTCCAGCATCCTCCAAGGATAAACCCTAACACGGATGTATGAGTGGCACAAGTAAAGTTTCCATCTACTTCAGCAAAGGCTCAGACCAGGGCCACAGCAGAAAAAACAGCAACAAGGACTTTGATACTGAAAGTGAACATTACAGAAAAGTGGGGAAAAAAGCACTAAAAGGTTTAAATAACCTGTATTACTTCTGTATATACAGAATATTTAGACCAAATGCAAACGTGTACCACCCCAGAAAATATCAGGCTGTCTGACTACCACCATTATGACTGACGTTAAAATACAGTAGTGTAGGCCGACCCTATTCAGCTATAGACAGTTTATTCCTAATAATTTGTTGTTGAACCCTGAATGGAACCGGTTCAAGACTCAACAGAGCTAATCTGGAGGAAAAGGGGAACACCTGATCCACACTTCTCTTCCCAATAGTTCCCATCTTCCCATCTTAGCATCATATTGTTGCTTCTAACTAATCATGGATGTGTTGTGTGTATGTACATGCATGAACGTGACTACAAAGCAGGCTGATATTGAAACTAAATATAACAGGAAAGGCAGAACTTATTTTAAATTACACTTAAATTTGCATTCAAAATTATGATCATTTGTTAAATCTTTAAGAGATTCCTAAGTTAACCACTAGAGGCAGCTTGTGTACCACCATTGGTTCACATACTGTAGTCTGAGAACCAGCGGTATACACTTTTTAAACAACTTTAAATCCGTCATCTTAAGTTTTTAAAATTCCAACTGTCCTCTTTTTCTTCAGTTTCTCTCTCCTTTGAACTATTTTGGTAGGACAGCTATATGATTCCTTGTATGCAAGCACAGTATACTGACAATTAAGTAGAACTGAATTGAACTGACTCAGGCTCTTTGGCTGGCTGAAGCGCAGAAGAGAAGGTTTTAAACCAAACGCAGGACGTGGTGAGAAGGACGAGGACTGAAAGCGTGGTTCTCCGTCTGACCTATTAAGATGTAACAGTGGCGTAAAAAGGTGCTCTTTCTTTGTTTCCAGCCACCCAATTTCAACAGGCAGCTGAAATAAATGAGATGGCCGGACAGCTGACTTCAGGAGACAAGGCCATGAACGACGAGGAGATACAAGTCAGAACAGGGAACTGACAGAGGTTAATACTTGGCAAATGAGTCCGCTCTCTCCATACAATGGGAGCACTCAAGTAGGGCAGAGTGGCTGAGACTGTAGTCAGTGTCAATCAAACACTGAAAGGGTGCCTACCACCCGTTCGCCTGCTACACACACACACACACACACTCACACACACACACTCTTATACACACATGTAACTGGCAGATTGCTGAATTCAACAAGAGCAATGACAGCTGTCTGGCCTCCTCAGAAGCTATTTGGTGGGAGGAATATTAGAGCTGGAAATGGAACAGCAGTGTGTGTGTGTGTGTGTGTGTGTGTGAAATAGAAAGGACACCAGAAAACCTTCATTTTAAACGCAATGAATAGATGTAGAAACGTAGGCTAATATGGCAATTTCAGAGGCGATTCTTGGTTTGATGCTGGAGCAGCAGCTGCAAAACCATTTTAAGTATTACAGCTGCTATGCAAGTGTACTGACTGAAGGACGTGCTGCCAAGACGTCTGACCAAACACCGACTGATCAGACAGGACTACTCGTTACGAGTTTGCTCCACTCTTAGAAACACAGAACAAAATAACAGTAAATTATATTTCTCTTTTATTTAACTGATGACGTTTTGGCCGCATCTCAAGTCCACTAACAGTGATCAGCACCTCACTACACACCTTTAGTATATTGTGAACGTAACATATAACGTTACTCGGGACGTCCATTTTTATTTCAACAACAGGGTTACCTGCATGAAAGGTGTGTCTTTACAGACAGAGAGCTGCAACACATTTAACTTCCTATAAATTCTCCACAACTTAACACGACTCCTATGCAGCTGAAAGTGAACATGAAACAGCAAAATAAAGCAGAAATCTGAAAATACAAACAGACACAGGAGAGAAACGTTAAACCACAGAGATTCAGTTAGAAGCTACTGAGAGCTGAACATTCAAAGACTTCTCTGCTCTCCTGTAAAGACAGGAGTTGAGTCTTGCATACTGTATCTGTGTTATTCGCTGTATCTCCAGTTTCACTTAAGGCGTGCCCTTGAAGTAAGGGTCGTACATTTGTTAGCGCCCGTTCTTAACGCCATTTAATCCCCAAACAAAGACAACAAGGTGGGGGCTGATATCTCTGCTATCAAAGACCAGACATTCCTACCAATCTAATGTGTAAAATGTGGGAGCCATCGGTCCTATAACCGTTTGATGTTAATAAAACTGTGTAAATGAGTGTGACTGACTTCGGAAAATGAAGCGAGTAAAAAAAATGAAAAATAATGTCATTAAGTGGAAAAATCAACAACTTTGAAGTGTGTGAGAGAACTTAGATAAATAAATCATCAAAACAAACGCTCAGAATTAAGATTCTTGATCAGCGTGGCCTCGGAGGAGACATGCCTCTGTGCTGATGGACTGACAGAGACAGCACTGATAAAAGACATCAAACACTCTGTGGGGAAATAGATCAGTCTTCAGTGGAAAGAGGCTAGCAGTCGAGCCTCTCCTCCTTACTGAGAAATATATGAGAAATAAAAGCACACTGAACACATTCCACGTACTCTTTTTAATCACTATTATTCATTATTTAGAGTGCCTTTTATTATCTGCTGTTTGTTATAACTGACTGTCGACTAATTCTTAGCAGCTGATCCTGCTGAATCCCTTCACTCTCACAAATGATCTGCTCTTCGTCAGTAGCTCCGGGACATAAAGCCTATCAAATTCTAAACACTATTTAAAAGAAAAACCTGTATTTCTCAGGCATTGAATCCTGCAGCCAAACATACCGGAAAGTTTGCAGTATTCCATTTAAATTTCAAAGACAACTCGTACATAGTGTGAGTGCTTTCTATTATTCTAAATTAGCTCATTAAACCACAGGAAACCACTGCAACAATACTTCTGCCTTGTGCGACACAGCAGGTAGCTCCAACTAGGACTGGATTATGTTAATGTTATTGTAATAAGAAAATATGGATATACATCATGAGATAGTACTGTGTGGTCCCAAATCTTTGTTTGTGTGTAAAGCACGAATCACAGGGAATCTGCTCTTGTCCGATTCTGATTTCAGCCACTTCCATATGTGGTCCAAACATCGACATATATAAAGATGGACAGCATGACAGCTCTCCAAAAGTGAGGCCAAAACATCTCGATCGCCCCCCTAGTGGCTGACATGCAGTAATAAGCTGCTATATTGCAAAAAAATCAAAGTAGATGTCAAATAAATGTTTCCCAAAGATGGTTTCTGTTATTATAGGTATTTCTTTCAGTTTAGTTCAGTTTTATCGAGTTATTTGAAGCTATAAAAAGAGAGTTTCTCATCATGATTGACAGCGGAGCCCTGCTCGTGATTGAGTCGGCCAGGCGTATCGACTGGACCTTGATACCGGAGCCAATCCCAAGCACTACTGTGGAGACTCTGGCTCCAAATGACGTCACAAAAGCAAGGTGGCAGCGGCGACCATCTTTTATATGACGCTTTTACGTCGCTCTATTTCAACATTCGGCATGATTCTGCGACGACGGCAGTTAATCAGCTGCGATGGAGGGACAGTGAGGTGTGAGAACTCGTAAGAACCTCGGGTGACATTTCTGTAGAAGCAAAACCTAAAGGGGTTGGATCGTAACTGGTGTGAGTCTGCTCAGACTCTGCATTCACACAGACCTCCGTGCAGAAGTAGCAGAAGTATCAGACATTGCTCCACAAAAAGCCAGAATTTAAAACTCTTTCTCCTCATCCGAGTCCTTGCACATGGTCACACATTGTCTTTATTGGACTCCACGTTTACTTCCCTACGACGGGCTGCCGCGTGTGATGTTGTATGATGTGTTACTGTTCTTTGATCATGACCTGTTCACACTGGAATCTGATATTAGCCACATTTTAAAAAATCATATCTGAGCCCCTGTTTCCCCCCTGTTTCTAACAATGTAGAATAATCTCTGACAGTTAACAGATTTAGATTATTTCACCGTGTTCCCCATATTCAGAACAAACTTTCAGACAACTTGAGGTCGGCTCCAAGTCACAGTTCTTTCAAACTGGGGTTTAAAACTTTTTCCGTTTGCCTCACTTTATACTGGATTAAATTTGGAACGTTTTATTCCTCCGTTTATTCGATTTTATTCTATTTACCTTAAGTTCATCTTCTATTTTAAATCCAATACAGGGTTTATATTGACTTGTCTTTTACATCTTGCCCTCATATAATTTTTTTTTCTTATGTAAAGCACTTACTCATCACTTCCAGCTCATCCTCTCATCAGCCACCACATCAAAACTATAGAAAGTTCTGTGGAATAAATGGTGCAGTCTTATAGATAATATACTGTTAATGTTGTCTCCGTTTTGAACGCCCACTTTTCTCCATTTAATGGCTTGAATTCCACTGCTGCCTACAGTATAATAGACTCATATGTAACTACAATACGTATTAGGGAGATTAGATCTAATGTAAAACAATGATTATGGTTAAAAGACTACTCTGTGATTAATGTGTGTGAGTAATGTTTTGCCTGAGACAAAATAGAATCTAACTCTAATCTTTTGTTCAATATGGCAAATCCGTAAGTAAAAATATAATATTACTACATCTGGTATGAATGTGCATTGACATTTGACACTTAAGTGTAACAAACATATATTTAACGGTTATATTGCCATCATACAGGAAACAAGCTATTGCTATTGGCATAGCATTTGCATAAACATCAATTGAAGTGTAAAAATTAGTCTAATTTAATGTGATTGAGTAGCATTGTAATTGCTGGATGGTTTTTACTGCTGAGGAAGGTGCAACTTTTAGGAAACATATGGAGACAATACTTACAGTAAGACTAATAGTAGCTGGCTCGTGTGATCTGAGCACAGAGAACTTACATTTATAATTTATATTGCAACTCTCCTCCTACTTTTAAGTCAATAAATTAAGTTGCAATACTAATTAAACAGTCATAATACTAACTACCTCCTACAGTATATAAAAGTGTTAATAAAGTCACTGAGTCTGGGAGAAACAACTGACCAGATGACACCAATTTGCTCATTTTATCTACAATCATCAAAGCGTTCAACCTTTTTCTCTGCTTGTGCCGCTTGCTGTACTTTGAGTGGCTGTGAACCTCTTTCCGTTCTGTTCTACAAATACATTAAAACTGTACTTGACTGATCTGAGGTTCATCACCTCAAGGGCTTAAAGCATAATTATAATCATATTACTAATCAGTGCCAGGTGATTGCGCAGACATCAAAACATTATTTGAGCAGAGTCATATAGCCCCGTTCGTTCAATTCAAATGTAATTTTCATTATTTCCAGTCATGAATTGATTTAAAACATACAGTGCTGACACAACTTCATCAATGCTATGACTGTGATTATTTAAACTAACATGGCAGGCATCATGTTAGACTTGATTAAACATAAAGAACTATTTAATTTTAACTTGGAAACACTTGGGAGGAGACTTACTGCTTTATGTTAGAAGTTATACGGAGGAATACTGCTTTTTATTGTTATAAAGAGATGTGGGTGAAGAACACAATGCTAGCATGGCCTGTTTTAACTGCAAATATATATATAAATAGGAAGTAATATGCAATTGGCAACTTCATTACCTGTAGGAAATTTTACAGTTTGGAAGATTTTCTGGATATTTTCACTAATGAGCAGCTTTTCTTTTTAGCTGTAATCAGTCTGATCAGGATGTTTAGCCCACTGGCTACCAAACAAACCTAATGAAATCATTCACATGTTTGATATGGGAGACATAACTCGTTTTAACCTGGGGTCAAAAACTGCTCTGGAAATAAGAAGGAATTTCTCCACATTTTTTTTTATCGCCATCGAAGACATGTGTCAACAAAGACAGCTCAACAATATTTGGAACATCTCAAGAAAACTCTGGATTGTGTTTCTAGGTTTGAACATCTGTATCACTGTCCAATGAAGAGCAATCAATCAGACAGGATGTCACCCTCACAAGCTACTTCCAAAAATTACAGTTTTAGCAGCACAAAAGATATATAATTTGTAGATATTGGTTGTATTTACATCAGCATGAATGGAGTGGGAACGGGAAATATCCAATTATGCTAATCTTACTGGTTTATTGGCATTACATTATATAATTTAAAATCAGCAACAGTTACATCTAGTCGCTACTGGGTGTTAATATGTAGTAACATCTCTCTAGTTTGTGTGGTGCTATCCATTTTAATATCATCACTCATTAGAACTAGGCTAAGTGTTAAGTTTAACCTGCTGATCTTAGTGACCTCCACTAGAGAGATTAAAAATACTTCAACAGAGTTTTCCAACTTTGTATCAGTCTGGCAGGTCAGGAGGGTTCAGAGGTTTTCTTAAAGTGTTTCTTCCACAGCTCGACAAACAGTCCAGTCAAGGTCAACAGTTCTGTTCCCCTTGCTGGCTAAAGCCCTGCATCCATTTTCTAAGAACTCAGACTATTTCCCCAAAGCTGCAGTCCTGATCGGACATCCTGATATCCGTCTGCTGAATAAGGAGTCCCAGTTGGGATGTAGGAAAACATACTGTGAAGGTGAGAGTAGAAGACGTTGCAGTCAAGTCATGTTAAGTCAAATATATTTATATTGCCCCATATCAGAAATCATTCTCAGACGGCTTTAAGGCCCTAACACACTTGTCTGACCGTTGGCCGTTGTCCAGTATTGGGCCGGCATTTGTAGCCCTAGTTTTTGCAGTGTGTTCTGCACCTTTGGCACTCGTCTTGGCACTTCAGCTTCTCTGGCAGACTGAGCATGCTGAATCAGCAGCGCAGGCCTTCAGTGATAGAAATCACTTTGATAAACTGTTTAAGTGAATCAGTGCACGAGTAGATGAGCAAAAAGTGAACAAAGCAGCAAACAACTTCGTCAAGAGAGGAAAGATCGTCTCATTTTCAACTTCGTCTCACCTGATCACTCAAATACAGTGAGTATAGTCGGTGCGGTGTGTTCTGGTGTGACTTTATTGCCAAGAGACAACGTGGCTTTAGTCGCCGTTAGTTCTTTGATGTCGGTTTGGTGTGTTAGGGCCTTTAGATCCTGTAGAACATCAGACACCCTCTATCATTATACATTTGATTGGGTGCTTCTGCTAGATATTCCCAGTTCACCCTCCCATAGACACTCTCCAAGAGGAGCTGAGCTGACAACACCAACCAAGACATACAGTATGAGTGCAGACCAGATGTTACAACCACACAATCAATCATAGATTTTTGGCTTACGGCCTTGTGGTGAACCAAACTGTATAACTTTGGGCCACTTCTATCACCCTATGTCTTGGACTAGTACTGGTTGTCAGTAGCTGAAATCTCCATCCAAAGAGCCAGTTTCAGAGTCAATCAGTGGCCACACGCACCAGACCTCCACACCTAACCTTGTCGGTGGTGGGCCTGCATGTTACTTCTCTGGAAGTTAGATTTATGTCCCGTGTAGACAGAATTTGGCTGACTCCACAAAACCCCTTAAGTTATTTCCCTTTGATTAAATTGTCAGGAAGAAAACAGAATGTGTTGCTCTTCCCCACTGACCTTTGTACTGAGCTGGAGAGAAGAAGCACTCTGTGGCAGAGTTGGATAGATGGGCCACAACCTTCTCCAGAAGGTCAGACAGCACTGAAGAGAGAAAAAAAAACGGACACATACATAAAATTCATGCGAGCACAGCTACAAGAAAACTTTGAGTTCAAAGAAAATGCAATTTACAAATTCAAATACATCAGCTCTTTTACTTTAAATATTTATATATAAAATGTGGATAACATCCCGTAATGTATGCTATTAAGCAGGCCAGTTACACTGTAAGTGGTCTGGAGGTTAATGTGGCAATCACTGACTCACTGGCATTAAAAAAAACAGGCCACAGGGTTTATTAGTCATATAGATGATTCAGAAATGAATCAGCAAATCAAGGATGGAAAAGTGTCTGACACAGAAGATCATGGCTGGCTCAGTTGCAAAAACACGTGTACAGTAATATCTGCAAATATGCATCCGCTCGTACCCATTTACGGCTTCACTGCCCCCGACTGTCCCCGACTAAACCCTGGCAGCATTGCTTTCAGCGCCATACGTATCACTAAACCACCCACAGTCACTTAAGATCTAATTGTGGAAATAAGAGGTAAACACTGGGTGATGAGGCCTCTTGTAAAAGTAATACAGACAATACAACTCTAAAACAACACGGTGCCACAGGAGCATGTTTTTCTATATTTTCAGTCATTTTAAACCAAATATAACTTTATTGTTTCCTTTAATGAGTAACACTGTTTTCCTGCTACTGACAGCACCGACTATTTAAAGTAGCTTACAAACTTGGCAGCTGTATTCTCACTTCCTCACCTAATATTTGCATTTTGCATTACATTAATTTAGCTGCAATTATCACAGAAAGTATTCAGTGTCCTCCTGATGAGTCTCACCTATCCTACTGTATCTTACACCAAACATTATCATATATACAATTTTACATATGTACTTATTAATTTGGGTTTCTTTTCCCCAAGCGACATACAAATGAGGTACAAGCCACAGTAGATCAAAGAGAAACTAGTAAGAATTCTACTTAACAAGTGCCACATGGATGCAGATGCACTTTATTACTGTAACATTAATACGTGTGTGTATTGAGTGCCATGTAAAATGTATGATGTTTTCTACACAGTGGCTCTTGAAGATGTATTTTTTGCACAGGAATGTAATACCTCATTTATATTTATTTTAAAGTACAAATATAAAAGGATTGTGTGTAAACATCAGCAAAGCCTACTGGTGGTGTAATTTATATACACACAGTTGCAACCTACTGAAATAAGAAGGTTAAAAAGAAGTGTTGAAAATGTTACTGGGATGAGAAATATTAAGTGTTTTTTTAATATTTAGTCTACCCTCATTGATATAAATATCCAAGTACATTTTAATTTGTCCTTGCAACTTGCTAAGTAACTGCACGAAATAAATTAAATCTATTTTTTATGTATTCTGATGTGCTTTTTCATTCATGTGTAGCTGCTAGTCACTGACCATTAACAAGCTCTCTTCTCAGCGTTTGGCTTTCCTCCAGTCAACATTTAACATGTGATCACCAAAGCTGAATATTTGTCATCTTATCTGATCCTGTACTTGAAAAGAATCTTTCTCAAGTGGCACCAGGAGAATATCACAATATTAATTGTGTTAAAAAAAACATATATCAAGCAAGCATATGGCAAGCAAGGATTTTTCACATGCGATGACAGAATGGGCGTATTGTTGAAATAAAAAGGATTTTTATATTGACTCATCAAAGAATAGCTATGATTATGTTAGCTTTAGGACTTCTCACAGAGCTCCTCTTTCTACTCCGATATCTCAAAGTCAACATTGTGTTAAGTGAAATGGGATGTTAGTGAAGTCATGTTCACACAACTGCTTAACATGCAATGAAGCAATGAATACTTGTGTATATATATATAAAAAAAAAGAAGCTGTTGCCGGATTAGAAAGCACAATGAGCGCTGATCAAAATGCGATCCAGTGACTCAGATACCGCTATTGAATGCATCTCATTGACATGCTGTGGAGGGAGGACAATTAAGCAATCAATGAGCTGGCGAGAAAGTGAGGTATTGAACATGCAAACACTTCTAATCACGAGTGTTTTGATCAACAGATAGTATACTTAATCATTTTCATCTTACAGCTGTCGAAGACACAAGTGACAATCACAGCGTCTTCACACGCAGAGCTAAACATAAGTAAATGTTCAATAAATTGCCCAGGAAGTAGGTTAATTTAGATGTAAGCCTATAAATGCTACAACTTCCTTCACTGAATGTTTCTTAAAAAGTAGAATGCCAGGTTTTGCAAGGTTAATGATGCGCCAAATGAAACAGCACTTCTATAGCCGAGGGAAGCTTAACAGATAATAAATCTTGATCATGGTTCCAGTGAAAAGCCTGAAATGAGCACCACAGAGCAGAGAGGGGATGCTTTCACAGGAGTTCAACAGTGTGCTGATGAAAGGAAGCAATCACTGTACAGTGCACGCATTAATGACAAGATTGTCAGCCCTCATTCATTTGAATGTATTTTTGTCCTCCTTAAACAGCTATTTACTCCTACGTGAGAGAAGTAGGCGTCGGTGCCATTTCACAGAGGCTGTCAATGGCAGTGATGAGGAGTTTTTAAAAGTTTCATGGATATTAGATCTCAGTGGTGCACCTGCAGCACAATATCAGCAGATAATGTAGTTGAATACAGAATCCACAGTATAGTTGGATTGTATCATATAGTTTTTGTCCTCATTATTCTCTAAAATACTAAAAATATCTCTAAAGGTGCTTTCCGATACATTATAAGCAGCTGTTTAAAAGATGTAAATGCATCGGTCTCTCCAAGATGAACGTAGCGACTATTCTACAGTCACTGTGGTAATGGCAGCTGAAGTTACACTGAAATTATCCGTAACTCTCCCTGTTGCTTGAGGCGAGAGAAAAGTAGCTCCAGCTCAACAAATTCAGTTACAGAGAAGGCACACCGAGCTGTTGCTGTATTTATCTGATCCCTGATTTGTGTGGGTGAGAGAGCTGAAATGTATGTTTGAGGGAGTGCCGTGAGTTAAAGCCCACGAAGACGATAAAAATGTTTGCCTTGCAGTCTATAAATGCAATTCATCCATGTCTGTGATGGCTTATTGTTAGCTAGTTAGCTGGTAACTGATAGAAATCGGAAGTTTAATCAAATCCGCAGCTACCCAGTGAACCAGTGTCTTACCTCTTCCAGTTAGGATGTTGGGTTTGGAGGTCATGACGTCGCAGTACTGTCTCCGGCAGATCTCCATCCAGCTCTCCTCATCCTTTGAGTCTTTACATGATGCCAGAAATGCACTGATATCAGAGTCTGTACAATGGGGCGGAAAAACTGTTGGTGAAAAAAAATCACAATAATGCAGCAGTTGATATTAATAAGTTCACCAACGTTCCTCTTACCCGGTGAGTTAACGTGGTCCTTCGATGGCTCCAAAGTGTAGCAGTGCGGTAGAGGGTAGCTTGAAAACATTGGCCAGGGGTACGGTTCTTCTCCCTGGAACGAGTGGATGAATACATTCAACTGACCATCTGACCACCTCATTACACCTTAATGCAATTATTACAAACATAATGCAAACATACTGATCACATACCTTTAATATACTCTAAGTATATGATGACATGGAGGTAAATATGTATGGATTTGTGTGGTCTGCTGTAAGGTTATTATAGTTGACTAAAAGTAGATCTGAAAAGATATTTTTGTCAACTGAACAAACTTAAAATAATACAGGAATTGTCTTTAGGTTTAGTCTTTAATTTGATTAAATGTGTTAACACAGCAAAACTGTTTATTGGGACTGCGATGTCTACATGACTGTTAGTCAATGTGTTTGTCTTGTAATACAATCCCATATTATAATAATAAAAACTAATACTGAAACTAATAAAAAATTAACTAAAATTAAACATTTGAAATTAAATTTCACTGTGGAAACTAAACAGAATTAAAAACAAAAATTAAAAATTAAATAAAAATTAGGAACTAATTAAAAAATCCCAAACTATAATGACTCTGCTGTAGCAGCAGTGAAAAGGACTGCTAGACCCTTTCAAAACAACATGATTAAACCTATTTGGATTATTTTCTATTGATTAATTTCTGCGCCGCTCTGAATAGGATGTTTGCTGCAGCTGTTTATGACTTTGCTGGGTTATTGATGTCTCATTATGCATTTGTTTGTAATTTAATATACTGAAAACTGTCTGAAGACAATGCTTGATGACTGCATATTAAAAACATTTCAAACTATGAGCAGTGTAGTGCAGTTACACAGTGACTTGTAGATGGATTCATTACTGAGCAATTGTTTGCTGTTTGCTGGTAGCAGTTTATCAAGTTGTGTTTATATTTGTACCACATCAATTCTTTCCTCCTCTCAATCTTTTTTGTTTTTTCCCTTCTCACTTCTTTTATTTGTAACCCCGCTGCTGTTTAGTGTTATGTTCATTACGCTTGTCATATCTCGGTTTGGAAGGACCATAACTTTGGAGTCATAGCTCAGCGTGTGGCTTGCCAAAATAATGTGCTCTAAATGTTATTGGGGTTTAGAAAGCAGGCCTCTTTATCCAACTGTCTGTGCCCTCTGTCAGGATAATCCCTGCTGGTATTTGAGGCTGCCACTCAGCTGATGTGCTGCCCTGTATGTTGGTAAGGCGATGAGGACTGCGTACAATCCTTATGCAGCTTTGGGACTCACTGCTGTAGCTAATAATTCTGCATGCAATGTGATCTGAGTTACTTAACTTTTGCTTGTTTTTCCCCTAAAAACAAAAATAAATACTCAAGAATCACAAAATTCCACATTTTATTTACTCATTTAACGTTTAGCTTAAGAATTCATATCTTTTATGGTCTAAATGCTGTTTCTCTATCCACTGTAATTCAGGTGGACAACAGTAAATACGTCATAATTTATCTTGTTTTTTGCTTAAAACAATCTACTCTAGACATTTAGACTAAAAGCTGTCATAATCAGCCTAAGAAAACACAACATGTATAATAACTGAGTAATTGTAGTAAGTGAACTCTTTTTGATGTCATGTAAGCACCCCAAGTCGCAGAATACAAACAAGAACATGACCTTGGTGTGTTCAGTGGCATCTGTAGTGTTGCACACACTTGGCACAATGACAGTTCTGGTCATAATGTCTCCTGGTGAATGAGCTCTTTTGTGCATACTTAACAGTTTTTATAAAAACATGACCATGTCTGTGGAGCCAGTTTTGCATACTGAAATCTAACAGAATAACTATTGACAAATGAAATATATTTAAATTAGTAACGTAATACAGCCATCGTGGCATTCATTAGGTCTCCTTGTAGCTGGTGAATATTCAGGCAGACATTTTAGGAATAAACTGTGTTTTCAGGCAACAATGCTTCTCTTTTCATTCCTCACTCAAGAGGGGATTCATTTTTCATTTGTTTTGTAACCTTCACACAAAAAAATCAGTATGTATTTAACAGCTTTCTGATCCCTATACTTCCTTCAAGTAACAGGAGAGATGAATTAGAGAGACCAGTGAAACATGAAGGAAGCACTCAATAAACTAATTTACGCTCTCCCCTTTAAAAAATGTCTTTCATATCCTTTCCTTGACCTCAGCGTAAATTAGTTTCCTGTTTTGCGTTCAGCGTAAACAACACCTAAATAATTGATATCTGTCCCAAACCACGCTGAGTAAATAAGGCTGCCGGCATCAGACAACAACTTTAGTCCTGTTGGTAGTCAGTGGAACTCTTCGTCTGACCAGTAGCACAAACTCAGAATAGTTAGGGATTGATGAGGGCTGGATCATGTGCACAGTGACGACTGACGGGCAAATAGACGAAAGGATTACGCGGCTTTTGCAGCCGCACAAACCTGCACCAATAAGACAAAAATAAACCATCGATATCTAAAAACAACCGCAAGGGTGGACTGGACCTCTTCCTCCAATGCAAAACAAACTGTATCTTGGTGCTCTGGTGCCTTTTGTTAATATTTAAATTAGGTATTACACATACATTTTGTAATTTCTATGCAAATGGGGCACAAATGAGCGTACAGTTAGAGCATAATAATCAAAATCACTGTGAGAAAACTCTCCATAAAGAGTGAGTCATACAAAGTTATGGAAGAGCAGGGGGAGTTAATATATAATCAGAATAGTTAGAATAAGTTCTCTTTTAAATCAAACATCTTTAAGATATGAGTGGAAGGTTAACTCTTCTCCCCGCAGGCACCTGTCGATCCCAAAAAAGTTTTTACTAATCCTAATTTTGCTGCCAATCGATCGACCCTGCAGGTAGAGAGAGGAACCACAGATTGTACCAAGTGGAAACCGGGTTACAATGAAAAGCAGAGCACAGCTGACCTCTTGCAGTGCTCGCGGAGGAAGCTTCCTCTCAGACGGACCTCCCACCACACTGACCCGAACCAGCACATGATTCCTCTCCACTGACAGGCTGTCTATGATGAACTCCCTGAGAAGGTAGGAAAGGGGGTTAGACAAAAAACAAAGTTCAAGAGACGGTCCAAATGGAACAGAAATATCTTCTTCTTTTTTTGGGCCCATAATATTTTTGATAGAGTTGCAGAGTCGTGTGAGTCATGACCAATTCACAAACACTTCCAAAGTCTTCCAATTTGTTGTAGCTCATATGAAACATCTTCTGACAGGCTGTACGGAGTCTGAAGCCTCCGAATGACTGTGACTGTATCGGTTGCTGCGAGGAAAATAAAAAAAGAACGAGAGAAGGGCTCCCATTCTTGGATCAGAGAATACTCCAATTATAAAGGCACTTTAGGGTCGAAGGGTTTCAGCCTTGGTGGATAGTTCTTATGACTGAAGCAATTTGGACTTGAAATTGGTAATAAAAGGGGACTATTTTTTGTACGGCGCTCTTTCCAAGGGCCTGTTTGCCACAAAATGTAATTTGCATACATTTCTTTGTGAATGAAACAAAACAAAAAGTCACTCAAAGCTCAAATAGCTGAGGTCAAATAAAATGTACAGACTGCCCTCACGAAGTCAGGGAAGAAAGGAAATAAAGAGTACAAAGAAAAAGGAAAGACAACAAAAAAAGTAGGGTAAAATCTTGAAAAGTAAACTTTTAAAAAACACTGAACAGGAGTGAAAAGGAGGAGGAGGAAGAGGGTAAAAAGAAAGGAGTTGATGTCTATGATAGTGGGAGCATGAGGAGAAGAGAGGGCAGGAAGAGGAGACGGGAGAATAAATTAACAAGTCATCATTCTCCAAAACGCAATGTGAGTTGGCATTTCAGGGCCATTTCCATTCATAACCAATAGCCACAGCTCTGCCAGCCATTACCAAGAGAAAGGGGCTCTTGAACACCCACTTTCGGAAATGGCCTTTTCGCTCTCTTTCCGCGTTATTTCATTTTATTTGTGACAAGGCAAACAAACAAACAATTTCTCATCCTGAGCAATGATTAAATTTGAAAGTGTTCTGTCATATCAGGATGATATACAGAGGAGAAAAAGGCTTTTACTCAACGAGAGTGAGAATGACTATGTGCCCAATGTGGAAACTATTGAAATGTGTAAATGTATGAAACAACTTCCTGCAGTTCAGCTCTGAGTGGCGTAAACTGAGCTTTCTAGAAAAACTACAAGGGCAATGTCCAAGTACAAAAAGCACATTAGATTTGGGGAAACGCGTTTTTATTCGTTTTCTTTCCTAGAGGTCGGTGAGAAGGTCAATATCAAGCTGATCTTCGTGTGTTAAGAACAGAGCTTGTTATATCTCATTTGTTTCATTCATACACGAAAACAAAACATATAAACATCAGTTTGTGGTTTTTAGAGGGAGTTGTATCTATTTCTTGCCAGGTTTCACTGAACGCAGAGATATTACGAAACATGTGCTTACCTATCTGGTGTCCTGCGCTGTATTATTATTAAACTGTTGTTCATCAAGAAATAATTCCAGCATATAAAAAATAAGCAAACCAGATAAAACATGTTAATTAGTGAGATTTAGAAGAGCTGGTTGGAGTCTTTTCAACCAGCCAAGTCGTTTAACGTGTAACATTTAGGAGGATCTATTCGCAGAAATGTAATATAATATTCATAGGTACATTTTATTTAGAAAATAGGAATTATTGGGTTTTTGTAACCTTAGAATGAGCCGTTGAACCAAAAACTGGCTCTGGATAGGGCCATTCTGAGGCCGTCGTAGGGAGGGTGAAGCCAGTGAGTTGCAATCTGCCACTAAATCCTACACACTGGTCCTTTAATTCACAGATAAGATATCCATCCTTTCGTCTCACTCTCAGAAAGACAAGTCATTTCCCAAAATGCTGAACTATTCCTTTAAATGAGAAGAGAGCATTTTTATGAGAAACTTACAAAAGCTTTTCAGAAGGATTTTACATTAAATTAAATTATGAGGTTGCTGTTATTATATATATATATTTCTTATTGTCGAATATAGCCAACAAGACATTACTTTGTTTTGATAGTTTCTGACTTCAGTTACAGCCATTATGATAAGCCTCAGCTAAATGACTCCTATTATACACTTGAGATGTCTGGGACTGTGAAAAAGACAATAATGAAACCATATGACAAATAATGAATATTTTATGTATTTGAGATTCATGCCAGATCTTTGAGCCACTTTGATTTATTTCATTTTTGCAACTTATGAAGTCTATAAAGCAAATCTCTGTGATTAACCACTAATGATACAAGCAACAGAGTTCTTTGAGTTACTCCAACCATAAACTTTGCACTACTACTGTTTGTTGGTTCATACCCCTCGCTGGCGTCCAGCTCAGTGACGTTCTCCCTCTGACTCTGCAGCAGCATGGAGCAGATGTTGTACTGGCTCTCCAGCAGCAGGAAGGAGTCCAGATTACAGCAGATGACACTGAGCAGTCTGCAGCAACACACACAAACAAACAAACAAACAAACGGGACATCAAAATACAGAGAGGACTGGCATTGTGAGATACTGTAGCATAACCGCAGCACTGAGCTCAGACTGTAATGTAGCTCATCGTACAGCACCGTATAACCATGCAGACAAAGACATCATTTGGACTTCAGTTGTCCATTTCCCCCTGGCCTTGTGTGCCTGCAAAGGATCAGTCAACACATTTTTTCTCCACCAGCTCGCCGTAGCCAATTGTAAGCTTTGTTAAGTAGGAACCCTTGGGGAACACTTCATGGTTCATTTTCAGTTGCTGGTAATGACACCGAGCTCAAGCAGGCTGTTAAGCTCCAGCAGCATTATGAGAGGCTGCAGTGTGTTTTAGCTGTGTGTTTTATATAAGGTCCAAAAACCTGTGGAGACGAAGAATGTCTTTTAAATATCTTGTATCTATTAAATCTAGTCTGGTGGACTATGTTGTTCTCATTCAGTCCATTATTCCCACTTTTGATAAGGCCAGTGACGAAGAGGAGTCTATGTATGGGAGTGTTTGTAACATTTTAGGTTTTATATCTACTACAGAACCACAGAACTTTAAGGAATAGTTTCACATTTTGGAAAATGGCGATACGTAGGTAAGAACATCGATACCACTTTCACTTTCGTGCTAGAATCAAGAAGCAGGGTTTGTGTTAAGATGAAAGAAACAGCTTCATGTAGCGTGTCTCTCAAAGCTGAGAAATCCACCTACCAGCACCTCAAAAGTTCACTAATCTACACGTTTAATTATCTAATCCATATGGAAACAGAAATATAAAAGTTGTTGGAGGTACATGCTGTAACTATATTTGACTCCAGAGTCACTGTGCACACTCTTAGCACAGATGTGAGAGTGGTATCAAGAGTGGTAAGCGTATATCCTAAAATGTTGAACTCCAGCATTTATTTCAGTGTGGTCGTCAAATGTAGTGATTTTTATTGCAGTATCTTCCTGAATCTCGTCACTCGACACAAATACCCTGATTGTTTGATATATTCGGGGAATATCGTGTAACCATCAGAATTGTTATCCATTTCCATTAATGAAGAAATCCAAAGAAACCCATTGAAGGCCCATTAAAAGGTGACACAGTCTTTAGTTGACCAACAGACTAGAAGCAGTCAACCCTCACACAGGCAACGTAAAAGACCGTTTAGTTTGATTCTAGACAGATTTATGTATGCAGCCAAGTTGCTTTCCTTCATTATCACTGTTAGTTTACCACCATCTTTCCAAATAAGGCTTAAAAAAAACAAAACGTACAATGAAATGAACAGAAATGTCAATGTTATTTTAACACATTTAAAAGGCTGTTTAAAATAACTCTGCAGCTTTTCACAAAATGTCATTTCACTTTCCAAAAGTGTGTGTTCCTGTAGCGACACACGAGAGGTAGTGTGTTATGCTCTGCATGTTGTTTGGTCTGTTGTGTGTGTGCGTGTTTGTCCTTTGTGAAGCACATCTCTGCTTTCAAGCAGCTGCTTCATTTCCCGATGTGCTGGGCAGTTGCTTGGACTCCTGTTTGACTGACAACTCCACTCAGTCGTTCTGACAGCGGCACAACAAGAGGCTGAGAGTCTGTCAGGCCTTATGACCTCTCTCTGTTTGAAACAAAGCAATAGAGAACCAGCCTCGTTTCCAGTTTGTCTCTTGGATAGGATTCTTTTATCGAGTGGGGTGAAGACTGACTGTCCAATCAAGAGGTCTTTTAAAATGTTTACCTGTTCTGAATAAAAACCCACTGGTAACCTTTTTAAAACAGCAGCAGTGGTAATTTTGTTGCGTGTAGGAATTTTCATTCTAGGGTTGCAACTTATTAATTCTCTCAATTAATCGGCTTGATCTATAAACTTCCTAGAACCAAAGCTGACATAATGGAATTGCTTGTTTTGTCCAACCAATAGTCACCAAAAAACCCCAAAATATTCAGTTAGTTTAGATCCTGATGGGCAATCAATGAGGACCCTCATCCCTGAAGTATTTTGGTTTCGTTGCCGTCCATTTAACCTAAACGAACTAAAACCAGCGCTGGGCTCAGGGCACGGCTGGCGAACCAAGAGGAGGATCAGAGCGGGCAGCAGAGTGAGCAACCACGCAAAGGACGAGTGGAGCGGCAACAGAGAGCCACAGCTCGCTGGGGTTCAGGTGAAGGCTTGCATCCTTTCTTCTTGTTGGCAATCAGGGAATTGAGTGTATGTAGAGGCCTGTTAGTAGCTGATACAGCCTTGAGACTTAGTGGTAATTAAATTCCCTAGACCCATAAGAACAAAGCAGCACTACCTGTGTCGTGACATAAGTAAGAACAGCTGCTGGAACCACTGAGGTTTTATCATTTTTGCCAAGAAAAAGGCCTCGACAGCTGTCCAGTAACATATTCTCTGACAGCCACGTTTGAGATCCAACACTTTTCGGCTACTCCAACAGACAGAGGTAATTTCTGTGCAGTTTTCGACCAGAGTTCAAGGCAGCTAATGCTGACTAATTTGATGTTTATTGTGTCTGCTTCCAACTAGCTATGTATGAGGTGAATGATGCATTATTGTAATGAAATGACTTGGTACAATTAGAAAACGCACACTTAGCTCCATAGGATGCCAAACACCCTGGTGTGGGTGATGCATAAAGGCTAATTAAAAACACAAAGCAGTGCAGTGGGGCAGCACTACTAATTTGGCATAATTGCTGTTTTAATATAAAAGATCAGGAAAGTAACTGAATGGCCATGTTTGAATAGATGTCTCCACATTATTTCAGACGTTTTATTTCCTTTTTTGGAAGTAAGACAGAGAGAGCTGAAGTTGTTCTCATTCAAAGACTACGACTCCATCTTTATCTGAGGTTGAAAGACCCATTAATGACCGATGATTACTCCCTCGATGATGTGCCCACATGCATCAGAGGACTTATGTATAAACCAATCACAAACAGTAATCTGCTTGCAGTCTGACTGATGATCATGCTACTGATTGATTAGTCATGCCTGGGGTAAGATGCAAATGGTCAATTTTTACGGACTCACCATTTGGGAGGTTTATATCATTGACAGTCAGGAGCTTAAATCAATCATGAAATCATTAAAAAAGGGGGCAGTAATGCAATCTGCGGAAATGGAGGAATTCTTTTACCGTAGGTTTGTGGAAAACACACCAGAACGCCCCCCGAAAACTCTAAGTTCTGCTTATGTGGTACAGAAAACGCAAATCTAACTATACCACTCTTCAAAATGAAAACAACTGCTTTAATTAATGTAATGTATTTAATCTGCATATATCCTGGGAGCAGTATGACCAGCTCACTCTGTGTCTCTGCAAAGATCAATTAGAAGCTTCATTTGGGCTTTAACACTGCATGCAACTCCCAACAACACCATGAACCTTTACTACGCTATAGGGAGATCTGTTATAACTCAGCCGAGGACAAAGTAATCTCTTTGTTGTCTATCTTACGTCTGACTTGTTTGATAAATTAGAATAAGTCAGTTTTATTATTAGAGCCCAAGATCACAAATCACAGTTTGCTGCAGGAGGGCTTTACAATCTGTACAACAATCAACAAACTCTGTCCTTAGACGCTTGAGTCAGGTCAGGAAAAACTCTTAGGAAAAGCAACAGAGGGATCCCTCTCCCAGGATGGACAGACTTAACAGATGTCGAGTGTACAAACGAACAAAATCAGATGATGTACACATTTCTGAAGATTATAAAATAATAAATACCTGCACACTGTCTAATATGGAATATTAGTTATTTGCGACATTTGACCTTCATCAGGCAAATGGTCCATGACAAAGAGAAGTTATCTTGAATAGGGAGTGGCTCGAAACGCGTTTATCTTTGCAAAGAATGACGTTTGTTTTCTCTTATTTATTATATTATATATATATTTATGACAAAAACTAGTTGTGTTGCTGATGTTTATGAGTAAGCGCTACTTTATCTTCTTAGTTCTCACGTCTGGCAGCGTACAAAACATAATCTTCATCGTCTTTAAAACTCTACAAAGAAGAGACCGCGACAGCTTTTCGCCCTCCACCTTACTGCACAGTGGTTTAAAGTAGTCTGACCATATTCATAATAGTGTCTGTAGAACTTAGTGGAGGTTTTCTCTTTTTCCCACTGACAGTAAAAATAAAAAAATAAAAAATATTCTAATCAAATCTTGTGTGAAGTTTTGCACCCAGCACACACACTTGATGTGTTTGGCGCCATCAACAGCAGAGAGAGAGAGCAGAATAAAGGCATCCAAACAGTTCAGACGGAGGAAAAACAGGGGGATAGAGTGCCGGTTACCATGACAACAAAGAGGCTTTTAGCGACAAGGAAAAGGGCTGGGGGATTTTAGCTCTCATTAGCTTGTGAAGATCAAGAGGGGTGAAAATTGTGGCTTTTTTTTATTTCTTTTTTTTTTAAGAGGGCTGCACTTCAGGAATGCTCAGGGAATGTTTGCTTGACAGTGGCGCCGCTGATTAAACCTGCGGATACGTTTTAAGGTGTGAAGCCTATAAAGAGACAAAAGTTGTGACGTGTTGTAGCTTCGGTGATTCTGATGGCGGCTTAAAGGATAACTGAAATACACTGATCCTACTAAACAAATATCGTCCGTGTATCCAAAGCTCGATGTGTCCTCATTGTTGTCCACAAAACAAATTAAAAACACATCAGTGAGCTACGCTGTGGCACCGGGTGACATATTCATCATTACGGCGGTTTAGTTTGAGTCAGTTTCAGTTGTCAGAGATGCTCACTGTGCATTAAATGTGTATGAATCTGCAGCTCTGAATAGGACCCAACAAATACACTATTTACTCCCCGTTTGCTAGAAACCATCCAGCTGTGCTGCCCCGAGGATTTACTAAGCCTTTTGCCACTATATATCTGTGACACACTCTTGCCTGGCGGAATATAAGCACCTATAGCAGGAGTGGGAGGGAACACATGTTCAGCTTAAAACTGAGAAGCAGTTTTAA